GATGAAATCGTTTAGGGATGAACGAGTTTAAGAGTTTTTAAAAGTTTTTAGAGTTTTTAAGAGTTTTAGTCAAATGTTTTATAAGATAATATAGATATATGAAACAAATGCATATAAAATAATATAATATTATTTTACATATGAAAAATTAATATCATCTTGAATTTTAATTATGAAATTAATTCTTACTAATCTCAACATTTATAATTTAATTTTTATATATAAACCTATTTTGTACCTAGCGTGCACTACCATCTTGACTGAAAAGAAACGAAGCATTAAATCAAACTTTTTGCCAATATTCAGTACAACTACAACCCTTTCCTACACTATTCGTACGTCATGCACCATTATTTAAACGTTAGTTTTTTATTTCACTTTTTCTTTTAAACAAAATAAAAACAATTTGTGTTTCCAATAATAGTGTTTGCAAAATCAATTTGTATAATAGAAAAAACATTTTGATGCATTTTGACCTATAATTATAATGTAACATCTGTATTTTAGTACGTGTAATTTTGAGGTTTCGATTCATACTTAATCCATTTGGTATCTTGAGTTGTTTTATGTTTGGTTGGGTTCGGGCGACTTGCACCACGTGGCCTTGGATCGCGGCGCCTGGCCACGTACGACTAGGGGTGCTCATGGGTTGGAAAAAGGAAATATTATTACCTGTAAATCAAGATTATTTTGGAACTTATGAGCTCTTAGAAGAGTTGATGAGGGTGATGTTGTGTTTGGGTAAGAAAATACTTTATTGGGGCTTTATGAGAACTTTGTCTTATTTTGGTAAATCTTGTGTTAAAATGATTTTATGACGATATTTGAATGATGAAAACTATACGTGTGATTATAGTTGGCCACTTGAAAATTGTCACGTATGTTAGACTGCAATGCAAAGGATCCATAAGCATAGGAGTCGGTTTAATTTGAAATGTGACAGTTTCCCGTTTTGCAACCATAAATAAACAGTGGGTCATCAAGGGCATTATGGTACAAACTCTTGGAGCCGGATACCGGGTATTGACTATACGGTGTAATTTCTAGCGAATGAGTATAACTGGGATCATCGGGCCTTGAACTATCGAACATAGTTGAATGAACTCGTTGGCCCTTGATCCTTATTGTGAACTCTATAACATAAAATTGTGGTCTACTTTTGTGTTCTGCCACTAAAAATGAAAATTTAGTCTCCCCTATCATCATAAGATGTGTTTTATTTACCCATTTTACTTCTATCTCTTTCATTTTGTCTAAGAGGTGATGAATTAGCAATAAAATAAAATGAATATGGTTTCACATGTTGGTATGATGGTATATTGAATTTGACATATGTCCAACAGATTCCACATAATTAGAGAAATGGGCGGTGTCTCTTGATGGGACTTGTGCATGCCCTTTACTCCAGATTTGTCCAATAGTTATAGAATATGACCCCACCCCCAAACCACTCTTTCAATCTCGAGCATCTTCCTTTTTTTTTTTCCTTTCCAATTTTGAGAATACATGCAAACATATGTTGTAGATATAGATTTTTATTTTTATTTTCATTTTTATTTTTATTTTTATGGGGTTTACAACAAGCCTACGAAAAGATCTAGACAGACCGGACATATGGTTAAAGGTCATTGGTGGTTCGGCTTCGTCTACACCTTTAAACTAAACATATTCCCAAATATCTTTTTATCTGTTTTTGACAAATGATGTGTGTTTAATTCTTTGTTTTGATTATAATTAAATAATGTGGAGGTAGAAAACACGTGAGAAAGAGTAAACAGTTATATATATAGAGAGAGAAAGACAGAGAATGTTTACTTTTCAAACCACGTTATTTGTACAAACTCCATTCAATCAATCATAATTTTTCATTTTGTTCTTTTTTTTGTAATTATGAGAGGTTGATTAATCATTTTTATTGTGGAGAGTGTTAATCATGAATATTATCATCTTCATTGTTTTAATTTTAGAGAAATACATGAAACAGTTTCATTAAAATTTCATTAAGTACTATATGAAACAATTTCATAACCATATATGAAACAACTTCATCAAAAAAAAATATTATATGAAAATAATTTCACAAGATTAAACAATTTCATGAAAAAATTTCATAAGATTAAACAATGAAATCGACGAATGAGGATGGTCTGCACGGTTTGTACAAATTGAATGGTTTGCATTTGATCACTCATCTCTCTCTCTCTCTCTCTCTATATATATATGTATATATACCCGGGTGGAATTATGGAATTTACAACCAGCCTATGAAAAGATGTAGACGTATGACCAAACCCAATTGGTGGTTTGGCTTTGTCTACGTCTACATATTTGAATTAATCCTATTTCCAAATTT